AAAAACGACGTAAGTGGATCCAGATGTATATGTACCAGTGTGTGGGTGAGTGCGTCTACGTTCTGTACGTGTGCGTCAAGGCATATAACACAACTGGTGCTAACAATTGATGGATTCGTTGCAACAGGATGGTTGGACACCGCTGCACAGGGCATCGCTGAATGGACACAAGGACGTGGTTGAGCTGTTGCTGGCCATGTCAAAAAGAACGTAAGTGGATCCTAATGTATATGTACCAGTGTGTGGGTGAGTGCGTCTACGTGCTGTAGGTGTGCGTCAATGCATACTACACAACTGGTGCTAACAATTGATGGATTCGGGTTTTACGCGCAACTCTCAGCGGTGTTGGGGGCTTCAGCTAACGAGACGTACTTTCTCAGCATCATGATTGTGCGTGAACAGGAACTTGAACAGCAATTCCGGAACGACCTCGAACGCACGCTGGCAGAACGCCAGCAAGAGTCGGACATTGACAGGCACGTACGCGTGATTTGCGATGAGATGCTGACCTAACGGTGTCCCAACAGCCTGTGTCGGAGAGCACTGATTGACTTTGACGGGTGCACCACTTTGACATGCGATCTGTGCGATCGAGCCTTCTGTGGCCTTTGCTTGGAGGATTGTGGTCGCGACGCACATGTGCATGTGGCCCACTGCCAATGGAACCCCAATGAAGACAGCGATGTTTTTGTTGAAGAGAAAAGTGTAGCAGCGATTCAAGACCGATAGCTGCCGTGATTAGCGCTGCATGCAAGTCTACAAGAATAAGTGCTACATACATACATACGTATACATGCATACATATGTACATATATATAAACATGTATACACGTATACATTTATACATTTATACATATATATATATATACATACAATATATACACTCGTTGTCCCGTGCACAGTTGATCAAGAGGCCCAAGTATTGGCAATGTCGGACCCGACGCGACTTCCAAAAAAACATGTAGAGACAGCGCGTGTAGGCATTATTGCACTACACACGACACTTGCATGTTTGGGTATAAGTTTATTGCATTGTGTTACAAAAGCAGTTGGAAAAGTCGGTTTATAAAAATTGTCACGATGGTATAGTATGTGGCATGCAAGTATACAGGATAAGTGCTACCTATGTGTATATGCACAAGTACACAATTACACGCATTATTCCCGTGTAAAATATCAAGTGCGATTCACATGTCTGATAAACATTCACAGCTACATGTGTTTATGTATGTTTTTATGTACGTATATGTATGTGTAAATACGTGTGTAAATAGATGTGTATATGTAAGTGTATATGTATGTGTATATGTAAGTGTATATGTATGTGTATATGTAAGTGTATATGTAACATGGTGTGTTGAATACAAGTATATAAGGACAAGTGTGTCTATGTACAAATTATGTTTATGTACAAATTACATTATAGTCTGCATTCGTGAGTAACAATTTGTTGTTTGGGTGGTACATGCACGTTTACAAGTACATGTACATGCAAAAAAAAATACGGCCTACACTTTGACATTACATGTACATACGAGTACGACATGTGTAAATAACAATATCCGTACGATTCATTCCCATGCACATATGCTTGTGTACACGAGTACAAAATTTCATTCAAGTATGAGCAAAATTGAAGAAACCGTATGAAAAGTTGTCACGATGGATAATCGGTACCATTTATTATAAACTTAACCCTCCTCGGCATCTTTCGAAGGTTGCGTGCTCGCTCACGCTGTGCCTCTTTCTTGGCGAAGAATTTGGCTCATTCGCAAACAAGTTCTTGGTACACGACCTGTTTGGTGGTACATGTTCTGGAATCCTCACCGTGTACGATACCGTGGCCCACCGTCTGTGTGTACGAGATCGTAGTCGGTTAATATTTCTTCGCCGACCTCGATTTTGCGCATTATACACGCAAACACCGACTTGAAGCGATAATGTGCGTATAAATATGTGTGTAGTAACGATTAATGTTTCATATAGAAGCCGACGGAGAAGCTGGGCTTGTGTGATTGGTTTGTAAAACAAAAGGCACCACAGTCTCCAAAACTACAAAGATTCAAAAAAGGATCAAGGGGCAATTTCCAAAACAAAACAATGACCGAGGGGCTTGGATTTTGGGACTGTGTCGGTGTTTTCCAAAAATTGACCGAGCGACTTGGACCTGTGTCCGAGTCTCTCGGTGAAAACACCGACAAAGTCCCTGCCCCTCGGTCAATTTTGGAAACCGTTTTTGTCCTTCGGTCAGCTTTTTGTGTAATTTTTGAAAAACAAAATTATACAGCTCCAGGGTTTCTCAACCGGCTTTTTGTGTATTTTTTGAAAAACAATCCAGAGTCTCTCAGTCGGCTTTCTGTGGTGTCGTCCAATAATCTGGCCGACAAATTGGAGCCGTACAGGGACAGCAAAAATCTCTTGGGTTGGGTTACTAACGAACTTTGATACGAACAATGGATGCGAGAAACTGTAAATTCAGGACAAAATACTTCACATTAAATATTCACTTCATTCTCGTCCAAATTGTCGTTGCAGATGCCATACGTTCGATCGAGTATCCATTTCATTCTCGTCCATATTGTCGATGCAGCTGCCATACATCCTATCGAATATCCACTTCAGTCTCGTCCACATTGTCGTTGTTGCGGCCATACATCCCATCACATTGGATATCCACCTCATTCTCGTCCATATTGTCGTTGCTGCTGCCATAATACCCCACTAGCGCGCGTGAACGAGCCTGGTGTCTGACTGAATCTAGGAGGGGGTCATAGGATTAATGTGAAATATTTTGTCGATTTGAAGCAAAAGTGGGGTGTGGTCGCTGGTGCGCGTTCGGCAAAAATGCTAGCACCAGGGGAGGCGACATAACAAGCCTGGAGTGTGAGACTTTTTTTTAGCTCCAAAAAAACGCAACAAAATGGCAAAAAGTAAGGCATTTTTGTGTTTGGCAAAAAGATAAGGCAATTTCGTGTTTGGACATAAAGTTGAAGAAAAAAAAACATATACATATACATACATATACATATACGTATACATATACGTATACATATACGTATACATATACGTATACATATACATGTACATATACATATACATATACATATACATATATACAGAGGCATTTGTGGGATGTCAGGAAACTCCGATCGAGCCGTTTACAACGTACATTTAAAATGTAACTTTTCGTTTGTACTTTAAAAAAATGTGAATAAATCGAACAGGTATAAAACTGAAATGTGAACATGAATATATTTCAGTCTGGAACAAAAAGAAAATGGATCACGTAAAACTCCTCGAAGAACTGCTGGGCCTCGAAAATGCCGAGAGGTGGGACGAACTGTTCAATGTGGACGACGCCGCCCTCGAACACCAAGGAAAAGTCTTGCCCGCAGTGCAAGACGTTCGTTGATCGTAACGATTATCCGACACCGCCTTCGCAACCCGAGACTACGGCCTGCGACTTGTTGGAGCTCGTGCCTAGAGGCACATTGGCGCAGATCCGAATATTATCCGAGGACGACATCAGATCGAAGAAAGTCGTGACGCCACGGATTGTATTCGTGGATCGCAAAGGCGATGTTGCGGAAATGGTCCGGGCGAGCCGGACGTCCGTGGGGGTTCTCCGATTGTTGGGCCGGTTCCCCACGTGCCTGCAGAATAATTCAACCGCGTTCGCCGCTGTTCGGGTCTTTGTGAACCCCGAGTATGAGAGTCTGATGCGAATGGTCCTCGGTGAATTTTCTCATACGGAGGAGCCGACGATCCAGTTTGGATTTACATACTCCGCCGGGACGGATAGATTTATGAAAGTATCCCCAGAGACGTTTGTGGTGTCGCAGGAAGCGCCGATCGAGCCGTTTTCAACATACATTTAGGGCTGACGGGCCCCGTCAAGACTACGATATCTCACACAAGGCGGCTGACGGGCCCCGTCTAGTATCCAACGCTTGTAGGGGCAACAAATTCTTTTTCAAAAAAAGAAACAAAAAAATACTTTGGTGGATTTTCTTGTTTACAGGTGTCATATTTCAGCAAAAAAAAACAACATCGCGGTTCTTAGGCTGACGGGCCTCGTAAAGACTGAGATTTCTCTCACACAAGGCGGCTGAAGGGCCCCGTCAAGACTACGATCTCTCACACAAGGCGGCTGACGGGCCCCGTCGTTTGATGTGTTTGTAACGTAGAACACCTTCAATGACGTCCTTGCATACTGTATTGGCGGCGGCAATGAGATGTGCCCACCACTTGTCATAGTTCGATCCATCGTAAAGAAGTTTGGACCTTCGGATTTTACGGCTCTCGCCTGAGATTGAGTCGGACATAGCAAAAATAATGAAGTTGATGCAACTTTTTGATCAAAAGATAATGCCCATAACCTAAAGAGACCAAAAAAAGCTTTATTACTGCGAAACTGTTTTATTAATTGTATATTACGACATTTTTATACGTCAGTAAAACTGGACTAGTGTCTATATATCCGGAGTCCAAAATGGGCTGAGGAGTAACAGTCATACATGTTAATAATAGAGTAATGTGGATTGAGGACCAGTTCACATCTACCGGATGGCTTTTAAGATAGTAGAGCAACTTTAATGCTCAATACATTTTTATATAAAATGTTTTAGTGTTATAAAAAAAATAAGAGGTGCTAAAAAAAGTTAAAAAAAACTATGAAAAAACTATGAAAAAGACAGAGCAAAATTATTTTCCAAATTGCTTTTGTAAAACAAAATATGTCCATACTTATTGGAAGTCATATGTCGCGTATTTTTTTTTAGATACCTTTTTCCAAAATGATTAACAGGTCTCATTTGAGTCATTTTTAGTCAAATTATTAGTTTATGTAATAAAAAAATAGTGTAAGTATTCTTAAAAGTTCTGGGCAACAATCTTTTGATTTCATTGAGTTCTCACTCGCTCTCTACTCTCTACTCAAATAGCGAGAGTCTAGAGAGTAGAGAAGGAGAGAGAACTCTCGCTCTACTACAGAAGTACTGCTCTACTCTCTGCCTGAGCCTACAGATAACAGAGTACAGACTACAGACTACAGACTCTAGAGAGACTGAGAGAGAGAGTCAGAGTCCAGAGAGGCTCTCTCTCAGTCTCTTTATATCTGTGTTTCAAGTTTTTAAATAAATATTCCGAACATAAGATCTAAAATGCTCTAAATTGTGAATACATACCATATGGTACAGTTTTTGCCTTTGTTTTTTATATAAAAGCAATAAGTGCTACTTACCCGCCTATAGCATTTATCCCGAGCTTTAATGCCCATCATTCATATGTGCTTAAGACACTGAAGCGTAAGAAACGCCCAGCCGACCACGACGGACCTACTGGACCTAGCTCAATAATCACAGGGCAACCGAGCACGCTTAACTTCTCCGCCTGAGAAACATTAACTATGTTATGCTACTTAATGCTTTCCACCCGTTTTTCCATTCTCGCTATTTGACCCATAATCAGCTTGAGTGAGCAACTTGCTTCTCCTGGGTCTCAAAGCTGGGTGGGGGCTGTGTAATAGCCGGGCCTCCACATTAGACTCAATGTTATAAACGTACTCTTAAGCAGTACGTAAACTATAAACGGACTCTTAATAGTACGAGGAACTTAAGTTTCCTAAATGATTTATAATGGTTTTATTAACTAATACCTTTTCCATTTTACATATCAGATATTTGGACAAGGCCATTAAAAGGCCCCAGTAAATACCAAACATAATAGTTGGTCTAGTTCTATTAATAGAACTATATTTACTTTCCAAAATCATTTATATCTGAATACTTCGGTAGGGATAATATTATTTATTTCAAAGAAGTTAAGTTACAATGTTTGTACATATGGTATGGCCCTCATAGCCGTTGTAGTGGTTCGGGGAAGATCGATGGGAAAAATTGGTCAGTAAATTCCCTGTTGAAGCTTGGATCAAGTAAGTCGACAATGGAGGATATGCGCTGGATCAATTTAGGTCGGTGCGGACAAAACACTGACACCATCGAGTGTACCACGTATTCGCTTTCTGATCTACTAAATAGCGTACCCACCTCTGTGGTTCGGATCGGGCCTTTATCGTGTAGTGCTGTGGAATGGGTTAGTGTAGAGTGCGAAATGCCAAGTAGGACAAGCTTATCCGTTATAATTCGGTTGAGTAGCGAGGTTGAGGATAAACCGATGCCGCACCAGACCACGAATGCACTCAGTATGTGCTGGTTTGCCTGTATTGCGAGTAGCATAGGCAGAACCAACAGGAAATAGGACTTCAACAGCGTGATTAGCCGGGGTATAGGAAACATCTGTTGATATGTCAGAGTCGGGTGTGGGTACAGGGGTTGTTCTACATGCTGGATATAAGATCCAAGGTGTTTGTGGAGGGTCCAGATACCATAGAAGTCGTGGCGCTCCTGTAGTTGCTGGAGAAGATCAGGGCCAATGAGAGGCAGTTTCGGGCCTACCAGGATGCATTGGATCAATTGCTGGATGCAGGCAAAGTGGCTGGTGGTGAATTTTTGTCCACCGGGGCAGACAGGGCAGAGTCAGCCGCCAGTGCGGTAGTCGAGCAATGTGAACATGTACATATTTGTTACTATCATAGCACAGAGCCGTATTTGTGTAGGCTCGAAGCAGTGGTTGATGCTGTCGTGTATGGCTTTGTCCCGATCTGAGGTTGGTGGTTTGCCCATGACCAATTGGTATTCGGTAGCGAGGTGGCTCAACCGAATATAGGTTTCTAGGGACTATTAACGTTACCTAGTTTATCCTCCGGTCAGTCAACCAGATGTGCCATTTCGATGAAGGCTAAGTCGGTAATTCTTGATAAGTGGCAAGTTATTGGTTAATGCAATAACTAAGGACATCAAGAGTATTTTTCTTTTTTCTTTATTTTTTTCTAAAGATAGGACTTTATGAGTCTCTCGGATTCGCCCCAACGAAACGTACTGTAGTTTCTAATAGAGCGACAACGAAAAACTAAATAAAATCCCTTAGGCGAAAACAGTACTGAGAGGATTATATATAGGCAATGTCTCAGCCTCACAATACCTCAGAATATTGCTGTTTTCACGAGGCATACCTAACAATACTAAAAGTATCTTTTCGTTTATTTACTTTGAATTTCACGATACTTAGATTTTACCTCCACGTTTAATTACCCTAAGGCGTTAATATCGCCTTGATAGACTGAATTTTACACCACCTGGACATTCCTCCTAGAGTGCAAGACACGTTGAACACTTTTGACGATCTATCATCGGACTCAAATTTCTCCTTTGCCACTTCTAATAATTACCACTCCGACCTGTCATCCATCTACGTTCAGGCCGAAGCAGGCAAGCTCCATGGTCAAAACATCCTCCCGGAATCACGCGCTAATTTTGAAGCCATCCGCGCCAGTCGCTCTAGCTCCCGCTCTTCCTAGGCTAAAACCGTACAGCTCTCTACTGGCGCCGACATTACTCTCTTTGAAATGATGTACCTCATGGACTCTTACGGTTTCCAAGAGTATAGCAAAGTCTATGCAGGCCCCCCATTGGCCCCTTTGAAAGAATTCTATTATACTTTTTTTGGACGTTACGGCAGGCACCAAAATCATTCAATCTTAATATATTATGGCTCACAAACATGACAAGCAAAACGGTGATTCGTATTATGAGACCTATGACCCTGCAGCGTCTTCAGTCTACCTCTGTACCTTCCTCGCCCATGACACCTTCAACAACCTCGAAGTCCATCATTTCGACGTCAGCACCGCATATATTTATGCTAAGTTAGACATCCCTATCTATATGAACCCTCCCAAAGGGGCCGTCGATCTAGGACATTACCCGCCGAACACGGTCCTACGTCTCAAACATGGACTTTATGGCTTTCGCCAATCCAGTCGACTCTGGAATTTTGACATCAAGGGAAAGCTCACCTCCATGGGTTTCTTCCAGACCGAAGCGGACGAATGCATATGGGACCACGCCGAAAGGTACATCACCGTTGTAATTTATGTTGACGATGCTGTACCAGCCATCCCACGGGGCACATTCCATACCATCTGGCTTTTCACACAACTCGAAAAACACTACCTGATGAAGAACTTAGGCCGTGCACGTCAACAGTTTGGCCTTAAATCGATCAAAATACTGTCGGTAGCATCTCCATTGGTCGGGAGGCGTACATCGACAAAATGCTCATAAACTTCAACCAAACTAAGTCCACACCAGGAACCGGAAAATATCCATCGTCCCTAGCAGGCACCCCCTGTAAAGAAAAATATCGATCGCTACTAGGAGCGCTGGGATTTGCCGCTAACATGACTCGACCTCACATCGCATGCACACTCAACCAATTATCTTTGTGTAACAGTATTTCTCTCACAGAACATTGGACAGCTCTACAGCAAGTCCTGCTCTACCTGGTAGCAACGAAATCTTTCATTCTCACATATCATACGAAGACACCTGACCAGAAAATTGACACCGCTATTCAAGCCTACTCGGATTCCGACTGGGGATCATGTCTCACGTCTCGCCACTCCCAATCCGGCACTTTAATCAACTTTAACGGTACTCCCATATTATGGAAGTTTTTAAAGCAGAAACAGTGGCGAATTGTAGCAGCGGGGCGTAATACATAGCGGCAGCCGACACTACTCGACAGTTAGCATGTATACGCAATTTACTACATGCACTCGAATACACGCTCAAAACACCAACCAGCCTTCACGTCGACAACCAGGCTGCAATCAAAGTCGCTTTGGGCACTGGTACTCCCAAAGGATTAAAACACTTAGAAATTAAGGAACACTGCGCGTGACGAAAAATGATAGACATACACTTCATCCCCACAAACGACAATCCGGCCGACCTTCTTACCAAAGGTCTGGTCCGTGGCAAACACGAACACTTTACCTCAATGTTACTCGGACTACTACCCGCCCCATGTTGGTAGTCTCCGCACTCGTCGCCGACGACGTCGACACGTTTCCTAAACTATCTCTCCTTCATACCCGCTCCCACTACAGTATAGCTTCAGGGGGGGTATTGAGCACTAAAGTTGCTCTACTATCTTAGTAGCCATCCGGTAGAAGTGAACTGGTCCTCACATCCACATTACTCTATTATTAACACTTATGATTTTTACTCCTCAGCCCATTTGGGACTCCGGATAAATAGACACTAGTCCAGTTTTACTGACATAAAATGTCAAGTAATATACAATTAATAAAACAGTCTCTCAGGAATAAAGCTTTTATTGGTCTCTATAAAATGTGTTTATTTATATGTTTTTAAAACAAATACAGTATGTATAAAATTGAAATACATATACATATACATATACATAAAAATACATCCATATTATATATATAATAAATATAGCCTTCTTTGATCTTTCAGAAGGCTATTTTAAAAAAATAAATAGTAATTATGCAAATTGCAAATAAATTTATAAAAAAATACCAATTTGCGGAATCCTCTCTAAATATACATATATATTTGTTTAAAAAAAAGAAAATGAAATGAGGAATAAATATTAAAAATACCTCTGAGCGCGTTAAATACCTCGGTAAGCCAACCAGTGGAACATGCGCCCAGAACGATATTTATATAAATGTATAAGAAAAGCGAACGTATATAAATATATTTTAGATGTTTTTGTACTAAAAAAAAGTGTCTATTGCAAAACGTATGTAAATATGTATCGAGAATATGGGTGCCGGACTACCCGGCTGCGGCTATGTATGGAAACATGGAAAGCGGGAGAAAGTGTCGAATGAAATAAATACCGAATTCTAAAATAAAATGATTGTTCTAACCTTCTACAGTGGTCGTCATGAATTTTAAGTTATACCGCAAGTCGTTCTTGTAATCCATCCCCCGAAACGCGTTGTTTTAGGTTATAAAAGAACACAGAAGACACATGCACATAACCTATCTACTAAAACACTTGGGAGACATTCAGGTCATCACTCGGTGTAACCTATCTATTTGGTTCATTTCTCAACGTTTCTCAACGAAACATTCGATTCGACAGCACAATAAATATATTTGCAGGACATAGGTTGCTATGGGTGCCGTATCAGTCAATTGTCGACCTGACAACACTCTAGCGGGATACTCATCACATGCAATTGACCACACTCTTGCAATGGAGGCGCACATAACCCAGACTCCTCTCGTAGAACTACAACACAATTATGTCAAGTCATCTCATTTATACCAACAAGGTATTATTTTAAATGCACATAGCGCGGGTAATTACAGTAGCGTGAAGTGCTTCTTCACTATCGATATCTTAGTATACTATGATCTTCCGAGTGCATATGCTAGTAGTACTATCTAGTCCAAAACAATCCACAAGTTATCGCAGTCACATACTTTTCATATGTCTACGATTTCGTATACCGAGTGATGTCATTAAATATTTTGGCGCACTGATCACAGGTCAGTTTGACAACATATTTTAACACATTTTGTTTTCGTTATATATAAATATATATATATTTATATATATATATATATAT